CGTGAGAATTGTCACGTGATCTCGATGACGCAACAATATACATATATATATATGTTCATGGAAAAATCTTTAGTAAAAATATTTCATTACAAAATCTAATATTTTGTGTGCAAAAGACTTGTAATATTTACTAAGAGTCTGCCAAATTTTGTGAAGATACAAAAAGTGTGTTAAAAGTTATATTATGGACATTAGAATGAGTACAAAAGTGGTTATGAGGTCGGTCGATTCAACCTACCTTGTTCCAAGAGAGTTAAATATCAGATAAACTATCTACACCCTTATACTAACTAATGAAAATATTATATTTGAAAAAGCAATATGATGCACCAAGCACATAATATATTTTACTTTTGTTTCCTAAAAACTAGAACACTATGAAGAAATGGTAGTTAAACATACCCGAGGATCCCAAAGTCGGATGTCTCCTTCATGAGCAGTAGCCAGGAGATTTGGTGTCACTTTGTTCCACTTTACCTGTGAGGCTCCAGCTACATGAAGAAAAATACTCAAAATTTAAATATCTATTTTTTTCTAGCAATCAAAATTTCTCAAATCATATAATCAATATTTCAATAAATGCTAGCTCTATTTATACAAAAATTCATGAAACTTTTCATATAAATTCTCATGTAAGTATTTGTGCTTCATACTTATTTGCTACACAAAGTAAGCTTTGAAAAGGATGTGAAAATATAATTGCAATAAGAAAAACTTTTCGGAGAAAAATTTAAAAAGCAGCAACCAAATATTTCATGATAATTGCATTACTCCTTAAATATGTGATGTACACAATGAAACATACATCTATACAGAACGTCCAAGAATTTTACTTGAACAATTTTAGTAAAAACCAAACTAACCACGGAAAACCAACTATGATATTATATATATATATATATATACACACACACACACACACACAGTTTGTTGCACGTGCAAGAATAAAAAAGTTCAGTCTGAAGCAAAATAGCAAATACAATGAATAAAATGAAATATATAGTGTGGCAAGCCTCCAAGTTTAAATCCTCTACGTAAGTGCAGAATAAATTTAAACAATGATATTAACAGGATCCATCTTCAAGTAAGGCAACTTACAAATAGTTTCAAAAGCTTCAGATGACAGGAAGTGTCCTACACAAGCACCACACAAAATAAAACATTCTCCAATCAGTGAAGTGGATAGGGAGGGTGGCCCAATCTGCTAGCTCCCAACAATCTCCAGATATTACATCTATTTTGTTTCTTTTAAGGGGCTTTGTAAAGGACATGATTTATGCTGTGTAGTAAGGTTGTGAGTAAGAATGAACTATGTCAACGTATCCGAGGAGCCTTCAGAAATATTACTCCTACAAAAAAGCAAAACATTTTGCATGAAATTGGGTACATAGTGGAAATGTTGCATGTAACTGGTGGTGCACAAGTTAAATTATGGTGACTTTTTGCTGCACAAAAAATTTAAATACTATTCTTGCATGTGCAACAAACTATGTTTCTCTATATTAAATGGTTTGCCCAATATGAATTTTAAAAAATGTTGTACCTGTTTCGAAACAATACAAATGTTGAGTGTTGGCAGAATTAGTTAAGATCCTTCACTTACATACAGAAAAATCAAATGTAAGAATAGGTAGATCCAAATGTAATCTTAAATATAAACCAGGCACAGTAAACAAACACTACCTGTAATAGATTACATTACTTTATCAGTTAGGTAACCTGTCATGTATATACATGAATGTAGGCCACAAACTAATTATTTTTCAACCTAACTAAATGTCACTCTACATCATGATTATTTCTTTTAATTAAATGCAAAGAATTCCACTAGTTTATGATCATAAACTCTCATTTTAGTTTCACTAAAGTAGGCTTACTACACAATTAAAAAAGCACTTTTAACATGCATTGAATTTATATTTTTAAGAAATTTCATAAAATTTATAATTTAATCTATATATGTAAAGCACAAAAAACCTGTGTGTCTATCTGTTTGTCCATTATCTAACTACTTTCTAGGTTGCTGGGCCAATCCCAACCAAACTTTGTTTAATGATAGCTTGTAACAAGGGGAGGTTCACGACTTCCATTACTGTTGTTATTGAGCATCTATTATGTTTAACATAAGCTAACATTAACTACATTCATAGATGGTGCCATGTCCTTACATAAAAAACAAATATATTATTAAACTTTCTATAACACAACATACATAGTGTGGGAAAGAGCATGCACACATCTTATATATCTCTGAGAGTGCACTAGCACTCTTTATGGAGGAATGCATTGAAAAAAATGGCTTTAAGAATAAGTAGTAAACCAGGCACAGTAAACAAACACTACCTGTAATAGATTACATTATTTTATCGGTCAGGTAACCTAACTGTCATGTATATACATGAATGTAGGCCACAAACTAATTATTTTTCAACCTAACTTCATAGGTACAGAAAGATGATGTAATAATGAATACTGTAATAATATGTGATGTTATAGCACAGTGTTTAACATTGACCTTTCAACTTCAGCCTGCAAGACACTTCTGAGGCCAATGAAAGTCTCTTAATTACTCACATCAAACACTGTGAAAGGACATTAAGAGCTGCTACCTATTCCTACAAAGTCACTCTGATCATAGCACAGTGTATAACATGTTTTAAGATGTGTATATATATATATATATATATATATATATATATATTGTTACGTATCTTGTTTG